TCTCCTTGCTGTCCAAGGGACTCTCAGGAAACTTCTCCAGCACCATAGTTCAAAGGCATCAATTCTTCGGTCCTCTGCTTTCTTTACCAGCTTCTTTACCACCTCTCACAACTGTATGTGACCACTGGGAAGACCATAGCCTTGACTATACATACGGACCTTTGTTGGCAGAGTATTGTCTCTGCTTTTCAACACACTGTCTAGGTTTGTCATAGTTTTCTTGCCAAGAAGCAAACATTTTCTTTTTTATCCTATAATGATTTTTAACAGGTTGTCCTTTTGGTACTTTTCAAAGTGGTTGCATTGATGAAAAATAATTCATTTTTGTTATCTAGCATAACAAACCAAGATCTTTCTGTCGATGCTTCTGTAAAAATCAGTCGTGCAGGCTCTTGAATAGTATAGAAATATGGAAAACAAGTGCCTGTAAATGAATACTCAGGCAGTATTGACTATGGTTGTTTTGGAAAATTGAGACATTCCTGGAAAGGGTGTAGAGAAGCTAACATTAAGTGCCTGCTGTGTGCCAGCCAGACGCTGTGCAGGACAATTATATATAATTTTTCTTAAAGTAGAGAAAATAAATGAGAGTCCTCAGAGCAACATGAAGAACATTTAAGGATGACATGAAAATAGGAATGGGGATGTTTTACAAATAAACTCAAATGCAAAAGCTTAAATTACTTACCCAAGGTTATACAACTAGTAAGCGATGTTGGTAGGATTTTTTTTAGCTCCAAGGAAATAAAGCTATTTTCAGGTGGGAAGGAGAACAGAATTAGAGTAGCGTGGATGCATTCAGTCTTGAAATGTGGAGTACAGGTGAAATGCCGCTTGCCCTGATTTGGCCTCAGATCAGTCGAGACATATTGGCAGCTTTGGGGCACTGAGTTAATGTTCTCAGTTCTGGAGGCAGGAAGTCCAGAATTAAGGTGCCAGCTCTCTTCTTGGCTGGTGCATGGCTGTCTTCTTTCTGTGTCCTCACATGGCATTTCCTTTGTATGCATACAGAGAGAGGTCTCTGGTGTCTCTTTCCTCCTCTTCTAAGGACACCAGATCTATCTGATTAGGGTCCCACCCTTAGGACCTCATTTAACCTTAATTACCTGCTTAAAAGCCCCAACTATAATATAAATACAGTCACTTTGGGGATTAGAGCTTCAGCATATAAGAGGGGGGGAGGTACAAGTCAGCCCATAATCAGCATATTCTCTTCTTCTGTAAGTGTGTAGTTCTGTCCTTATGTAATTGAGTAATTATGGCATAAGAAATATATATTTGGTCTTTGTCCCAATTCCAGGCACAAAGCTCCCAAATCCCTTGTAGTTTTCCTGAGTGATGTAAGTGAAAGGAGCACCTTTTATTCTAATGAGGCAACTTTTGTTGGGCCCGTTGTTACCTCCAGAGTGGGGAGAAGTCACCAAAAAAACCTAGAGGTGATTAGAGGGTTTGAACTTTCAGCCTCGTCTCCCAACCTCTAGTAGGTAAGTGTGGGGCTAGAGGTTGGCAAAAGTTTTTCAAAAACTGTTTTTTAAACTCTGAATTTATTTTGTTTGTAAAGAAGTAGACAAACTAAAATAACTTAGTCTCTTATGTTATTTCTTACAAAACAAAATTCCAGACTTTTTTTCTAGAGAATTTTTTGAGTAGGAAATGTCAGTGGACTGTTTTCTTTTTTAGCATATTGTGTAAGAACACATTATTTGCTCAAGTAAAAGTTCCTCTTGAAATGTCTTGTAAAACATCTTTGAATGGTTGCATAATACCATTGTTATTAAGTAAGAACTTAAACAGACCCAAGTTGTTTTGAATAAAACTTTGTCTCTCAAAGGTGATAACCATGGGAAAGAGTAAGACTGGGGAAATGAGTTATTGATATTTTGTAGGGGGAAAGGTTTTAGAGTTTTCCTTTATAACACATCAGCTCTTTTGTGCCTTCTTACATCTTTGCATCACAAATTAATTAGATGTTCTTTATTGTGATGTAGGTGAATGGCTGTTCATCTCGAAAATAAATTGCCTGCAGAATTTGGCTGAATATGAGTTTGCAGTTTTAAGTATTTACAGAACTTATATATGAATGGTTAGAAGATGGAAAATCTTTAACTTCCTGTTGAATGATTGGAAGATGGAAAATTTTTAACTTCTTTATTATATGGTTCATTTAAGATATGTTCAGTTAATTTTATTAACAAAACCAGAAAGTATGATTTGTGGAATGGATTTGTATTTTGTAAACCTGTAGTGATGCTTTGATCATACAGATTTCACAAATTATCTTCATATTTTTTTTAATTGCTTGTCTTTGAAACCATCGTCACAGAAGTGTAACAAGTTTACAGAATCAAGTCTCAGCTTCTGTGACTACTATGGATGTATTGCCCTCTGAGCTCCCATACTTCATCCGGTGCCTTCTGTCTCCTTATTGTCGGGGGAGTTTGTGGTTTCCTCAGTTCTGTCTTGTCGCAACAAAACTTTGAAGCGACTAGATGGACCAGCATTACAGCCCTCAGACAGGCCAGTGTTACAGCTCAGTTTTATTTACAGAGCAAAGGAAAATACATCCTTGAGGCGTGAGGGCATGCCAACCCAAAAGACAAGAAGAGAAGAGAGGCCCTGGCCCAATTTTGGCTCCTCTTTTTATGTTTTTTCTCCTCCTCCTAGGCCTTCCCTGTGTAAATTCAAACTAGCCTGGAGTGCTGTTTGTTTTACCTGAGGTCCTCACTCCAGTTTTCTGACCTTCCTTTGTTCTGTTTTCACAAGCTTTTCCCTTCTTTGTCTTTTAAGTAAAGTCGCTCAGTCGTTTCCGAATCTTTGCGACCCCATGGACTGTAGCTAACCAGGCTCCTCTGTCCATGGGATTTTCCAGGTGAGAGTACTGGGGTGGGTTGCCATTTCCTTCTCCAGGGGATCTTCCTGACCCAGGGATCGAACCTGGGTCTCCAGCATTGCAGACAGATGCTTTAGCATCTGAGCCACCAGGGAAGCCTTTAGCCACCACCATTTTGGACTCCTTTTCCCTATTCTAACTACCTAACATTGTCATCATTGTTACTGGCATATACAGAGTGCCTATAAAAGATGAGGCAATATTAGTATTTTATGTACCTTATTTTATTTAATCCTCAGAGTACCCTTTGTGTTATCTCTGTTTTACAAATTAAAGAAACTGATATACAGAGAGATGTAAAAACTTGCCAAAGCTTAAAATAGATACTGGAAAGTTTGGATTTGAATCCAGTTCTGTTAGATTCCAAAACCTGTTTTCTTTCTGCTAAGGTATTTACTGTATATCTGTTTCATTGTTTTGTGTTATAATTGAAGTCTTGTGTTCATCTGGTTTCCCTACCAGACTACTGGAGGATAAGAATCTTGTGTTATTCACATTTGTGTCTTCAGTGGCCATTACTGACCCCAGAACTTTTATACTGAGTGTTGAATGAAAAGCACTGATGTAACCTATGTGGTAGGTGTGAGGCCTGTGCTATGAAGTACTTTCCCTCACATAGACAGTTGCTAAGTTCACTGCTTCATATACCTCCCCGTTTGGTGTATTGCCATTTATGTTTATATGCACGCTAGCATGCCCATTGTCATCAATCCTGTGGACATGAGAATTTTTGTTCTCCTTTTGTAGATCCAAAGAATCAAGATCTAGAAAAAAATGAGACTTACTTAAAATCACACAACTAGTTAGTAGTACATCTGGTGTGCAAATCCAGATTTTAGACTCACAGTCCTCTGCTTCAGGCTCTCCATCTGTGCTGAGGAAAACCTATGCTTTATTTCCTGATATGTTAATTTGTTTATTGAAAAATGAAGGCAACAAAAAAAGGTGTCCAGAAATGGATTGTGTCTAAAAGAAGAAACCTTCTGTTGGGGTAATGAATGTAGACTTTTTCTTCAGCCTTTATAGTCTTACATTTGTTTTCCTTTATGAAGCCTAAAGTATAGTTGGAATTTTAGTCAAGGGATAAAATAGTTCTAACTAACAAACTATAGGAAGATTGAACCCATGACTCCGTCATATTGTCATCAGCTGAGTCTAAATCTAGCAGGACTCACGGCACATGCAGAGGACTCAGCACTGAGACTTTGAAGTGATACACATTTTGAGTAGCAAGATTTGCTTTACTGGCACCTGAAAGAGTGGCACAGGTAATCTGATGTTTTTGTGTAGAATGATTACGTCAGCACAGTTTATATGTTGTAAGATAGAGATTTTAAGTAAAAAATTTACATCTGTACTCGTAATATGAAGTGTGATATAACAAGTACACTTAAATATTTACTCACTCTCAGCTGCCTGAGGTCTCAGTTGGGGCCCACAGGCTCAGTAGTTAGGCAGGGCGCGTGGGACCTCAGTCCCTGACCAGGGACCGGAACCATGTCCCCTGCACTGGAAGGCGGATTCCTAACCACCACACCACCAGGCAAGTCCCTAAAGAGTACATTCAACTTATCTTAAACATTTAAAATTTTCACCTTCTTTGCCTGTACTTTTTTTTTTCTTTCAGTGGAATTACTTGCTAAATATAATTAATCTTGGATCTGTTGTCAACATTTTTAACATGTTTGATAATGTAATCCTTTTTTTTTTTAAGTAATGCCAAAGGACTGAAAGATTGGTAAAATTTGAGTAGATAGTGTGTATGGTATTAATGAATTAGAAAGACTTTAGACATAAGTTATCTGTTTGAAGGTGCTAGTATTTTATAGCCTTCTGTGGACAAATCGCCTGCAAATTTTAATCTGGAAAAGCACTGGGATAGCTGTTTGAAAAAGGAGTGCAGCAACATGTCTTTCATATTTTTAATACTTCTATTAGACATTTATACAGATTATTAAATCTTGATTATAACAGAAAAAATTAAGGTGTCAGCACATTGAGGTAGCATGTGGGGATTCCTACCATGTTGTTTTTGTATTCTGTGTCATTCAGCCACAGAAGCAAAGCAGGAATATGTAACATAGCACTGGATTTTATTTTGTCTTATTAGCTCCTCAAGAGTTTTTGATCTATGAAATGGCAGAGAATGGAAAAAATTGTGACCAGAGACGTGTAACAATGAACAAGGAACAATATAATGGAAACTTCACAGGTAAAGGATGGTGGTTTGAAGGGAGAAGATCTGTGAGTGTAAATGATATCCTTTTCATTGGAATAAAATAGAAATATATCTAATATGTATTATCTTTTGTTAATAAAATAATATATAAAATACATAAAATTCTTATAAATCTTGTAAAAGATTATCTTTTGTTTCATCTTCATAGTAAATTAAATTGTGGATGTATAAGAGCCTATAAGGTGATTTTTCACAGTGATAGCAGAAGCAGCTTGGCCATAGTCACATCAGCAGTGTTCTAGATACAAAATTATTGCTTTTTAATCTTACAGTGTGGTAATATTTGTTTGACTTTGTTTGCCATTCAGTTGTATCATGCTATTTTGTAACCTTAGAAATAGATTATAAATTTATTTATTCTGCTAATTGTAATTTTTCTAATTATCCAAAAAGTCAGAATGTGGTTATTGTGGATTTCTTTTGAAATTTTAGTTTGAGACAAGTAAATTTGTATTTTAATTGAATTAGGTATTTGTGGTAAATTTCAGTATATATGACTCTTATTTATACATTTATCCTAAAAATTATAGTTATCATTTATATAGATGATTTAAGAACTTTCCTTTATGTGTTTAAAAGAAAGTGAAAGGTTTTCCTTTTCTGTTAATTGTAATGATTTTCTTTTTAACTTGATCATATGACCTCTCAAACACGTTGCAAATAATATCAGTATTTCAGCAGAGTAATAATTATATCCTAGAAATCTTCTACTGGAAGGACTGCAAGCTTTCTGAAGTAGTAGTTCCCATCTGTTCATTTTGATCACTACATTGCTTTGTAGAATGTGTTTGCAGCACTTAACCGACTTTTGCGTTACTTTGGTTGTCAATACATTTTGTATCATTTCACCAGGAGTCTCAGGATTCAGAGATAGGCATTGCATGTGTCATAGTCTCGTCCCATTCGGAGCTTTTACGTGTCATTTTTTCATTCCTTTCAGCAAGCACATACATTTGTATATTCTTCTACTATTGCCTACACCTTTGGAGTTTAAAATTAATGTGAGAATGACACAGTACTGTTCTGTTCCATGGTGTGCATTTGTTTGGGATTTTTAACTCACTATTTTCTAGAGATTGTACATGAAGAACTTGCTCTTTTTTACTGTTTGTTTGTTTTGGGCTGTACTAGGACTTCGCTGCTGCGTTCAGGCTTGCTCGTCATGGCGATTCACAGGCTCCTTATTGCTGTGGCTTCTCTTGTTGTGGAGCACAGGCTCTAAAGCACAGGCTCAGTAGTTGGGGCCCACGTGCTTCATTGCTCTGCAGCATGTGGGATCTTCCCAGACCAGGGCTTGAACCAGAGTCCCTGCTTTGGCAGGTGGATTCTTATTCACTGAACCACCAGGGAAGTCCCAAGAACTTATTCTTTATTATGGCTGCCTAGTGTTCTATTGTTCAGGTATAACATATTTTAATCACTCCTCCGTCTTACTAAAGCAGATAACACCACACTGAGTAAACTTGTATAAAGTCATTTCTCCTTACACCTAATCGTTCTCCTAAGTAGAATTATTGAGTGACAGTTCAGTTCAGTCACTCAGTCGTGTCTGACTCCTTGCAGTCCCATGGACTGCAGCACGCCAGGCCTCCCTGTCCATCACCAACTCCTAGAGTTTACCCAAACTCATCTCCATTGTGTCAGTGATGCCATCCAACCATCTCATCCTTGGTCGTCCCCTTCTCCCATCTTCAATCTTTCCCAGCATCAGGGCCTTTTCCAGTGAGTCAGCTCTTCACATCAGGTGGCCAAAGTATCAGAGTTTCAGCTTTAACATCAGTCCTTCCAGTGAAGACTCAGGACTGATCTCCTTTGGGATGGACTGGTTGAATCTCCTTGCACTCCAAGGGACTCTCAAGAGTCTTCTCTAACACCACAGTTCAAAAGCATCTATTCTTCAGCGCTCAGCTTTCTTTACAGTCCAACTCTCACATCCATACGTGACTTTTGGAAAAACCATAGCCTTGACTAGACAGACCTTTGTTGGCAAAGTAATGTCTAGGTTGGTCATAACTTTGCTTCCAAGTGGCAACCATCTTTTAATTTCATGGCTGCAATCACCATCTGCAGTGATTTTGGAGCCCAGAAAAATAAAGTCTGCCACCGTTTCTACTGTTTCCCCATCTATTTGCCATGAAGTGATGGAACCAGATGCCGTGATCTTATTTTTCTGAATGTTGAGTTTTAAGCCAACTCTTTTACTCTCCTCTCAGTTTCATCAAGAGGCTCTTTAGTTCTTCTTCACTTTCTGCCATAAGGGTGGTGTCATCTGCATACCTGAGATTATTGATATTTCTCCCGGCAGTCTTGATTCCAGCTTGTGCTTCTTCCAGCCCAGCGTTTCTCATGATGTACTCTGCATATAAGTTTGTGACCTTTTCCAGTCCTGTGGCCACTGCTGAGTTTTCCAAATTTGCTGGCATATTGAGTGCAGCACTTTCACAGCATCATTTTTTAGGATTTTAAATAGCTCAACTGGAGAGTATGTGCATTTATAATTTTGAGAGATGATGCCAAGAGATTTACTATTATCTGCAATAATAAGTAACCTTAATTGCACATATATATACATGTGTTAACTCTTTTAATCTTTAACAAGACCCTAAAAAGTAGTTCTGTTTAGAGAAGAGAAAACTGAGGCACAGAAAGGTTAACTCGCTTTGACCAGGAGGTGGCAGAGCCAGGGTCCCTTCACAAAGTTTTTTTAGAGCAGAACCTGCTGGTCTTCCCTGATAGCTCAGATGGTAAAGAATCTGCCTGCAATGTAGGAGACCTGGGTTCAGTCCCTGAGTTGGGAAGATCCCCTGGAGAAGGCAGTGGCAACCCACTCCAGTTATTCTTGCCTGGAGCATTCTGTGGACATAAGAGCTTAGCAGGCTATATTGTCCATGGGATCGCAGAGTTGGATGTGACTAAGTGACTAACGCTACTAGTTGGCCTTCACATTTTGAGCTCTAAATCACTTTGTTCTATATGATGCCAAATTGCCCTTCATAGAAAGTGGACTAATTTAGTATTCCAGTAATGTATGGGCTTCCCAGGTGGCTCAGGTGGTCAAGTGTCTGCCTGCAGTGTTGGAGATCCGGGTTCAATCCCTGGGTCAGGAAAATCCCCTGGAGAAGGAAATGGCAACCCACTCTAGTCCTGTTGCCTAGAAAATTCTATGGACGGAGGAGCCTGGTAGGCTACAGTCCATATGGTCGCAAAGAGTCGGACACGACTGAGTGACTTCACTTTCGGTAATGTATAAGAGGAACTTGTGTCCTGACTCTAAAATAATTCCAAAAATAATGGTAAGAGAAGAACAGCAGGACATAGCCTAGACTTGGCACAGTGTGAATCAGGTGGTTTGCTTTTGAGATTTCTGTGCAGTCCTTCAAACGTGGGATGGGAAGATAGGTGAGTTTTGAGAGTGACTGGGAAAAGTAGCATCCTGTTTTAACTTCTGCACTAATTTTTTCAGACCCCTCTTCAGTGAATGAAAAGAAGAGGAGGGATAGAGAAGAAAGACAGAATATTGTCCTGTGGAGACAGCCACTCATTACCTTGCAGTATTTTTCTCTGGAAACCCTAGTAATCTTGAAGGAATGGACCTCAAAGTAAGGAGTCTTCCATTAACTTTTATATAAACTATTTTTTACTAATTCTAGAAGTCTTCAGCAATCTCCTATTCCTGCCACCTGCTCTGTCAAAATGGATTAATTAAATTTAGAATGTTACAGGAACATATTTATTTTCCTCTTTATATGTAGTTTGAAGAAAAATAGATTAGGGAACCTTACTGCTATTTGTTCACTGGATTATTAGAGTTGACCATTGTCTCCTATTGAATCTTTTATGCAAAGAAGAACCCTAAAAATGAAAAGTTTTTTTTTCTGGCTTTACCTTCAGGAGCAATCAGGCCTGTGTACGTTAGATACACTGATTCTTTAGCAGGTCAAGGTTCAGGATACGTGGCACTACTGATAGTTTGATCCAATGAAAAGGACTCTGCCATGGAGATTGTGTTCTATCTTTAAATTTAGTACTTATAAGCCCTGTTTCTGATATCATAAAGAGCAAGTTGAACTTTTAATTGCCTTAATCATTTTCTGGTTTACCTTTCCAAGATATCTGTAATAATATTTACATTTTTATTGTACTTCCGGTTTATAAAGTATTTTGTAACACTTTTTAGTTCATTTGATCCTTCTAGCAATTCTGTGAAGAAGGTAAAATAAGTACATGATCATTATGATTTTAAAAACAAGGAACAGAATCAGATTAGTTGAGTGTCTTACTCTAAGTGCAGTACTTCAGAGACTCTGATCCAAGTCCTCTGACTAAAGGCTAGTGCCCTATCCAGTATATACTTTTTCAAATTCGTTTCTAATAGCTTTGCAGTGTTGTGTTGGTTTCTGACATCCGACAGCATGAATCCGCTAGAGGTACACATATATCCTCTTTGGCCTGTCCCACTTAGAGGTTGGAGTATAAGCAATAATTTGGGGGTATGGGGAGGGCTGCAGTGGGGTTTGCAGTAAGAAATTAGATTCTGTACCCATGTATCTTGTTTATTCTCTTCTGTACATCAAGAGACTGTAGTCTTTAAGAACAAAAGAGCTCAGTCCACCAAGAACCACTTCTAAGCCTGAGCTAAAAAAACTTCATTGTTTAAATGAGAAATGTCTTGAGAGTGATGAATCCTAAAAATGAGACTGTGATGTGTCTCATTTTTTTGTTTTGCTTTTAAGATTATGGCATCGTCAAAGCATTGTGGTGTCTTTTTTACTGCTGCTTGCTGTGCTTACAGCTACGTATTATGTTGAAGGAGCACATCAACAGGTAAGAGGTCCAGCACTATTCTTGTTCCTTCCCTAATCCCAGGCGGTTTCAGAATGGAACTGTTTTGGGTTTTGTTGTGGGTTTTGTTGATTTTTTTAAAAATTTGTATCATAAATGGTATCTTAATGTCTTATTTTTAAGGCCAAATATTAAAAATATTCTTGTGGTAGTTCATGGCTGCTTAGTATTTACATTTGGTATATATCATTACTTTTTACCTTTAAGGATTTAAATGTAACTTTCCAGGCAATATTTAGTCAAAGCAGCATGAATTCTTTAATCACTACCAGAGTCTTCATATTTTCTATACTGTGACCTATCAAAGCTCATATATCATCCTAGATTGAAAGTTCGGTTTTATATGTATAAAGTGGGGGGAAGTTCGCTTGCCTGTTGTCTATATGTACAGCATAAATGAAGGGAAAATAGGACATTTTGTTAATAACTTTTGTTAAAATAGCAAAATATTCATGTATTCTGGTAAGGAAATAGTTCTAAAATGGTACCATTTCACATGTTAGAGCAGTTTACCTCTATATTCATCAAAATGTCAATGGTGATTATCTTTGGTAGGGTGGAGATTATGGGCGATAGTTGTTTTTTACTTTATGTATTTCTACTTGTCTGTAATAAACATATATTGCTTATAAAATTAGGAAACAATAAATGGCATTCAAAGGAGTGGGGTGAAGCAGTTTGCTTCTAATCAGAGAAGTTTTTATACATATAAGTGCAGGTTTTAAATATATTTTAAAGAAATCTGTGTGTGCTATTAAGAGTTTCCAGGGAACCAGCTTGATGGATTTACTGTCCAGTATGAGCATCTAAACTCTGGAAATCTTCCAAGTCTGTATCCCAGTGGGCTGCAGTTTGCTTGCTTGTAAAGCATCTTGGTCTTAAATATATAAAAATAATTTTATGTACATTTTTTTACTAGGATCAACAAGAATAAGTTCTGGTTCCAAATATTATATAAATAACCACCTGTCTCTTAACCACTGTATATTATCATGCTCTTTTAAACAAAATTTGTGAAACTTTTAAGTGTCTTTAAAATTTTTATTCTCATAGTTATCAGCAATTTGCATATTTCCTACAAATGTCATTGTAATAGTAGGACTTTTAAAACGTAGAAATGAGCTTTATTCCAATCACATGATTTTTTTTTTTTTGGTCATCTCTGCTACCACATGTTAGAGGAATTAGGTCTCTTTAAGGAGCTTCAGTCTTAATACTCTTCCTATTGGAAACTTAAGTTCTTTGTTTTTTTTTAAATTGTAGTTGATAAATATATTTCTGCTTAAGAATTCTGATTTTGTTTTTCATCACCTTATCGCTTTTGTTTTTCAGTATGTGCAACGTATAGAGAAACAGTTTCTTTTGTATGCCTACTGGATAGGCTTAGGAATTTTGTCTTCTGTTGGGCTTGGAACAGGGCTGCACACCTTTCTGCTTTATCTGGTAAGATTTTCTTTTAATAATCAACATTGAAAGAGATTATGTTTTAATTTGTGCTTACACTACAGAAGTTAAAATTCTAAGGTTTTTATTTGAATATCTTTGTGTTTTATATTTCTTTGAGCTCCTTTTTTGGGGGGTGGTGGGCAAGAATACCAGAGTGGGTTGCCATTCCCTTCTCCAGGAGATCTTCCCGACCCAGGGATCAAACCCGGGTCTCCTGCATTGTAGGCAGATGCTTTACCGTCTGAGCCCCAATCAGTGCTTTAGGTTTGATTTGGAACTCTGTTTTGGTTTTCCTTTTGAGTTGAGAATTTAAAAAGAGAAGGGAGGGGACAAGCCTTAGGCAAATGAGATTGTTTACTTATATTAATTCAGCCAGGAAACATCTTTTCTGTCGGCGATTTTGGAATACTGTTTCTCTTGCTTGTGCAGTTACATTGTAATAGTTGAAGTTATTTAGTTGTAGGAAATTCCATGTAAGGGTTAGAAGTGACTTGGACAGTAACTTTCTGTGTTAATAGCAAATGAGAAATGGTGTCTTCCCTCACATTCTCAGATAACTGTGTACACAACTGGGTAGTTATTTTGGTATTCTTATTGAATGCAATTAATGAAGTATTATGTGTGTAGAACTGATGCTTTCTTAAACTCTTTTAAATTAAAATATAAAATGTACCCTTCCTAAAAAAATATACATTTAATAATGGCAGAGCTAAGACTAGGGGGTGACAAGCCTGACATCGAGGGCACAGAGTTTATATAGTTACTTTTAGGGTCATAGAAATGTAGGGCGCATGAGTGAAGGCCTCATTAAATTTGTGCCCTGGATGTTTCTCTTGTTTCACTCTCTTCCTGTCTCTGAATAATGTATTGAAAACAATTTCATATTTGAAAATAGCTTGCTCTTGATGGAGAAGACAGGTGAGAAGTTGTCATAGCAGTGCTGATGGCTGACTAGAGCTCAGCAGTGCAAACACTTCCAATCTCTATGCTTCAGTGAATTCATTTCTGAAGCAAGTATGATAAGGATTAGGAAATGACTATTCAGAAGGCTGCTTAACTAGTGGTCTGAAGCCTAAGAATTAATCCATAATATATAAGTTCTGTGAGTATATGGGAATTTTAAAACATGGTATTTTAGAATTCTGTTCATGACTGCTTGTCAATTTTAACCCAGATAGAAACATAAATCCTAGATAAGTGATCATATCAGTGTTTCTTTAATTATTCTAGAAATATAATGCTATACTAGAGGTTGAGGCAGAGGAGGAAAGAAGAAAATACCAGTTACCTTTCTATTCTTTTCTAGACCTGTCCTCTTAGATTCCTTGGGAAGACAGATTAAGGAACTCATTAGTTGCATTTGATTAATTTCGAAGTATTTATAAAGCAACCCAACTAGCAGATTCTATTGAATCTTAAAAGGGATTCTAACGAAGCTTATAAATCCCATAATAAGTAAGAGTAAGAAAAATTTGAAACAGAAGTTTCACGTTTTCTGTTTCTTTTCATATCCTTGAGAAACTTTTATAAAATGGCATTTATAAACTGTCTTGTGAAAACACATTATTATTTTAGTTCCATTGATTCATGTAACCAGTAAAGGATTTAAAACATACAAATAAACATTTATTACAACATGTATTTGAGTGAAAAGTCAAATCTTTGTTTCTGTAAACTGAGTAGTTATTTCTGCCCTTGATCACAGTGCAGGATTAAGGGAATGTAGTTAAATTTTTTCCACAAGTTTAGAAGGAATTCTGCAAAAACTGTTTGAAGAGAAGTATCACTCTCTCATTACTCTCAGTGCCATGTATATTATTTCTAGTGAAGCAATGTGGAGATAAATTCAAGGAACATCTGGAACTGTGTTGCGTTATACATAAAAACCATATAAAAACATTGTGGCATTACCATTGCTGGTAATAAACTGGCATCCAGATGGATCAGACCATGTTTTTCAGCATTAGATTAATTTGATTTTTGTTATTTGTCAATAGCATTTAGAGTTACTTTTAAGTGCCCTAAAAGCAAAATAACCAGATCTGCATTTTTGTTGTTCAGTCGCTCAGTCACATCTGACTCTTTGCGATTCCATGAACGGCAGCATACCAGGCTTCCCTTTCTTCATTATCTCCCAGAGTTTGCTCAGACTCATGTCCATTAAGTTAGTGATGTCATCCAGCTGTCTCATCCTCTGTCGCCCCCTTCTCCTCCTGCCCTCAATCTTTCACAGCATCAGGGTCTCTTCCAATGAGAAAGCTCTTCACATCATGTGGCTGAAGTATTGAAACTTCAGCTTTAGTATTAGTCATTCCAATGAATAATCAGGGTTTATTTCCCTTAGGATTGACTGGTTGAATCTCCTTGCAGTCCAAGGGACTCTGAAGAGTCTTCTCCAACACCACAGCCCAAGAGCATCCATTCTTCAGTGCTCAACCTTCTTTATGGTCCAACTCACATCCATACATGACTACTGGAAAAACCACAGCTTTGACTATATGGAGCTTTGTTGGCAAAGTGATGTCTCTGCTTTTTAATACACTGTCTAGGTTTGTCATAGCTCTTCTTCCAAGGAGCCAGCGTCTTTTAATTTCATGGCTGCAGTCACTGTCCACAGTGATTTTGGAGCCCAAGTAAAGAAAGTCTGTCACTGTTTCCATTGTTTCCCCATCTGTTTGCCATGAAGTAATGGGACTGGATGCCATGCTCTTCATTTTTTTAATGCTGAGTTTTAAGGCAGAGTTTTCACTCTCCTTTTTCACTTTCACCAAGGGCTCTTTAGTTCCTCTTCGCTTTCTGCTATTAGGGTGGGGTCGTCTGCATATACGAGGTTGTTGATATTTGTTCTAGCAATCTTGATTCCAGCTTGTGCTTCACCCAGCCTGGAATTTCTCATGATGTACTCTGCATAGAAGTAAAATTAAGCAAGGTGACAATGTACAGCCTTGTCCCAGTTTTGAACCAGTCCATTGCTCCGTGTACAGTTCTGTTACTTCTTGACCTGCATACAGGTTTCTCAAGAGGCAGGTAAGGTGGGCTGGTATTCCCATCTCTAAGAATTTTCCACAGTTTGTTATGATCCACACATTTAAGGCTTTGGCTGTGATGCACATAGTCAAAGGCTTTTGCGTAGTCAATGAAGCAGAAGTAGATGTTTTTCTGGAATTCCCTTGTTTTTTCTATGATCCAACAGATGTTGGCAATTGGATCTCTGGCCTCTCTGCCTTTCCAGCTTGTACATCTGTAAGTTCTTGGTTCATGTACTGTTGAAGCCTAGCTTGAAAAATTTTGAACATTACCTTGCTAGCATGTGAAAATAGCAATTAAGTGGTAGTTTGAACATTCTTTGGCATTGCCTTTCTTTGGGATTGGAATGAAAACTGACCTTTTCCATTTCTGTGGCCACTGTTGAGTTTTCCAAATTTGCTGTCTTATTGAGTGCAACACTTCAACAGCATTATCTTTTAGGGTTTTGACTAGCTCAGCTGGAATTCCATCATTTCCACTAGCTTTGTTCATAGTAAAGCTTCCTAAGTTCCACTTCACTTCACACTCCAGGATATCTGGTGTGACCACACCTTCATGATTAATCTTGATCATTAAAACCGGTTTTGTACAGTTGAGGAACCAATATTGATGCATTACTAACTAAAGCCAATTGTTTATATTAGAGTTCACTCTGTGTTTTATATAGTTTATAGGTTTTGGCAAGACCTTAATGTTATACGTTCTCCATTACAGTATCAGAGAATAGCTTCACTCTCCTCAAAATACCCTGTGTTATACCTGTTTATTCCTACCCTTCTCATTCTCCCTACTCACAGACCCTAAGAAAACACTGATCTTTTACTCTCTCTGTAAGTTTTGATTTTGTTCGTATAGTTGGGATTATACAGTAGAAGACTTTTTCTGCTTGACTTCTTTCACTTAGCAATATGGATGAAAAGTTCCTCCATTGTCTTCATGGCTTGATACCTCAGTTCTTTATTTTTTGGGGGGCCATGCCCCACTTTATGTGGGATCTTAATTCCCCAACCAAGGATCAAACCCACACCCACTTTATTGGAAGCACAAAGTCCCCTGGATCACTGGGAAGTGCCAATATCTCATTTTTTTTTTTAAATTCCCAAATAATATTCCATTTCCTGGGTGTACCACCACAATTTTTATCCATTCATGCATTGAAGATCATCATGGTTATTTCCAGGTTATAACCATTATGAATAAATCTGCTATAAATATTCATGTGCAGAGTTTTGGAGATACATATATAAGAATTCAGCTCATTTGGGTAAGTGCCTAGGGACATGATCTATAGATCATGTATATTAATTGGTGATACGTAGGAAAGTAATCAACTTTTGTATATTAACCTTGTATTGTGCAACCTTAGTAGTTTCAGGACTTTGTTGATTCTTTAGGATTTTCTATGTAAGATAATCATGTCATCTGCAAATAGTTTTGTTTTTTTCCTTCTCAATCTGTGTACCCTTTCATTTTTCCCCCTTGTCTTTAATTGCATCAGCTCCATCTGATGTTGAATTGGAGTGGTGGCAAGGAAATCCCCTTGTTCCCAGCCTTAGCGAGGGAGCCTCTAGTCTCTCACCATGAAGCTACATATCATGTTAGCTACAGGTTTTTGTTGGTGTTCTTTATCAAGTTGATGAAACTCACTTCTGTTCCTAGTTTGTTGTGAGTTGTGTGTGTGTGTGTGTTTGAGAGTTTTTTTTTTTTTATCATGAATCAGTGAGGATTTGGTCAGAAGAACACTTTTTTAGATAGTAGTGATCAAAAATGGATGAAAGGTCAATATAGCAAACAAATTCAGAATGAGAAATCTTGAAGAGCAATATATTAATGTTAGAAATATAAAGAGGTACCCAGAATATGCCATTTCAATTTGACCAGATTATCTTTAGTTCTTAAATTTGTTAGTTCTTAAACACAGAATTCCTTCCAGAATTCCTTAGGTTTAATAGGGAAAATGAAGAAAAACA